GTAAACCGGTTCAGCTTGTCATACCAATGTGTTTTTAATTCCTTATGGGGATGAATGCTTAGTTTGGTCATATGACTTCTAACTTTTAACTCTTGAACTTTGCAGTTTCCTCATTTCCACTATCCTCTGTCTAACTTAATTCATAGGTATGAATTGTTTGTTCCCTGATTGGTTTAAGTTAGCATTTATGCCATCATCAGATCAAAGTCCGTAGGTTACTAAATTCTAGAAATCTCTCCAGCATCTATTTGGTGCATTATTAAAAGTACATGTTGTAAGAAATGGCACATTTATAATTGTTGTCAATTTTGCGTACTGCGTTGTTCTTCATTCAGCTTGCATTGTTACTGGAGCGGAATACAACAAAGTACAGCGCTGTCATTCAACTTTTGATGGACAAGTCAATTATTACAGCGGATTACGATGACATTTGTGAACATGTTGGTGATAGTAATGAGTTTTGATGTTGAAGGAATGTCAGAGACAGCCTGCTCGGCAGAGCATTTGTTTATTTTACTGTCAGCAGGCGTCAATCCTGTTGAGCTGGCCTGTCTTGCAGGTTTGCGAGAGCTACAACCAGAAGATCCCAGAAGACATGATTTTCACAAATTCCCACTGGCCCACTGTATGCACGAATGCAAATGAGAACATGGAGCGAGAGCAGTACTTTTGACACGACACAACAGTTTATCAAGTAGGTGCCTTCACTGGCGTGGTTTGCCTGCACCATCACGTGTCTGTGATATACATCGCCATGATGGCTGTTAAGCCAAGGATGGTAGTGCAGTGAGGAATATTGAATGATAACGACAGAAGTTAAAATGAAAATTATGAGCAAAACCGTTGGAGAAGATCAAGTGATATAATATGACGTTTTAGTCCAAAAAAGTTTACTTGGGTGCAGCTATTCCAAAGAATGACTTCGTGAGACTGAGCTTTTATGACTACTGTCTTATATAGGAGGCAAAGCCACAGATGTCGTAGAGATGAGTGAATGAGTGAGTGTAACGATAGATTCCGATCTTGACCAAATATTTTAACCTGATGTTTTGCGGTGCTACTCATTGTTTGTTCCGGAGAATCTATGCAAAACTTACTGTTACTGTTTTCTGCGTAGGGTGTTTTCTTTTTAGTGTTCTCTGGTTGGACTTTATGAACAAACAAATATTTCCCTTCTTCCGTAACAAGCAAGGAAACGCGCTCTCATCTTGAATTAAATTTTAAACAAAAACTTATCGTAAGGTTTGAGAAATTGGGGAGTATCACTTGGGTGATATCTTCGGATATCTCCCAGTTTTAGCAAATATTTGTTAACATGATGCGTTTAAACCGGTTGTGTACAAGAAAAATATTTGATGGATCCTTATCGAGGAGGTTATTCCAAGTGATATTCCCTAATTTTCAAGCTCCACGTCCATTTGAGCATTTTTTGTATTTTTAAAAAGAAGGACATGTTTTTTGTATTCATCGTATTAGACAAGAATGAAAAGTGAACATCCCTTGCAGTGAATGATTAGCTGTTGGTAAATTTTGTTCCCCGTAATTTGCAATAATATTTGAAGGAAATATGCTCGTTGTTTCGCACTTTATGGACAAGATTACTCATGTTTGCGGAAAACCTTTGAAACTTCAGGAGTTGGCTGCATACTCACCACCTATTCTCATGCAAAAGTACCACTTGAAACCTGATAGATTCATTTTCTGCTAGGCGCGTCTTATGGTCGTGAAAGTAGAATTATTCTTTCATGTGATTTTTCAGTTTCGCTGCAGTCACTAGCTTGAAAAGTGAAGCAAGTGCTTTGGCAGATCGAAATTTCTCTACTAAACAAACTCTATCACTTGAAAAATATAACGAAACCTCTTCAAATGGATATTCAACTGTTCGTTTGTTGTTCGGAGTTGAGTAGTGACTCGGACTCTGAAAAATTCGAGCACTCAACAGCTAACTTCTTTGAAACTTCCAATTTCTTAGTTTTAAAGTTAACATTGAAATAGCCCCCTTATCAATCATAAGACATTTAGTTTAACCTATCACTCGTTTCGGAAATGAAAAAAATTTGGTTTTTTAACATTCTGTAGGTGTCAGGTACCTTTTTTTCTTTATCATCAGTTTATTCCGTTCCGTAAATTTTCCCTCTGAACGTTTTTAAAAGAAAGCGTAAATATCGATAATCTCCGCTGAAAAAATGTTATTCCACATGATGAAAATTAAACTTTAAAAAAATGTATTTCCCATTTTCAAATTCCCATTTTATTTTCCCATTCATCATTCCTTATCTTCCATTTCCTATTTCCCATTCATCATTCCTTATCGTCCATTTCCTATTTCACATTCATCATTCCTTATCGTCCATTTCCTATTTCCCATTCCCTATTCCTGTTCTTTGCAACATCCTGCGAGATACGATATGAGTTATTCAATAGATTGATGGAACGGTGGAACGAAGGAATGACGGAATATATTAAGAAGCTGAATGAATGAATGAATGAATGTTCTAAAACGCAGAATGTCGTTTTGTTTGAAACAAAATCTTCAAAAAATGGAATTGCAATAAAAGAAGAAAATTATTTATGATTTACAGGAGAAATTAAAAGAAGCATACAATTAGGTGATCTTTGTTGGAGCCCAGAGGTAGGGGCACCATTAGGTTTCCAAGCTAGCCCCTTTGAATTATTATTATCATTATTATTATTATACAACTATTGTTATCATCATCATTAGTGCTTATATTGTTATTTGTTGCCATTTAATTATTGGTTGAATGTCAATTGGTTTATTCTTGAATCAACTTCCTCATAGGAACAGGGTACTCACAACTATGAAGGATGCGCAAGGTTTTCTGTTGCACGAGACAAATATTCTGCAACACCACCTTTTAGCGTCATTATACAACCTCTTGTTCTTTACAATGCTCTAAAAATTGTGCTATATCAGTAGCCATCTGTAGTCTTTGACTGTCTATTTTATTAAGTTGTGAACTTTTAATGAATGACGTTATATGTAAACTGTATAGCATAGCCTAGAGTGTCGAAGTAGTTTTCAAAAGATAGCTTATTCTGCACATAAAAAGTGTAAAGTATACAGAATCTGAGACCAAAACAATTAGTGACGAATTGCCATTTTAAAATGGCTCAGTTTTGCTAGGTTAAGTTGTATCGCTTATAGAGCGTGGAATGTGTGTCCTCGTGATGAGAGCTTATTCCCCATTCACGCCAGTTAAACATGTTCAGTCAAACCATGTTTTATAGGGTTTCTAGTCACTGACATGTATTTTAGTGAGCTAAATTTGAAGTCGACAGACGTTGAATTAAGCATTGGGGTATTACTAAGCAAAGTATACTTTACTTTCTTTATGATAGACCTGCCCCAAAACGTGCATGCCAAAATCAAAACGTCACAACTGTCAATCTTTAATCTGAGTGTTTATTTACAACTAAAATGTGGACCCTATAAGATGAGCATACAGGCAGGGTCAGTTAAGAAAAAGAGACAAAGGCAGGTTTCCTATTGGTCAGAATAGAAGTTTGTGGCTTCTGTTTTTATTTCATTAAATTTAGGAAATGCAAGTATGGTGACTGAAATCCGAAGTTTAGTAATTGAAAACTGTCATTTGGTAACTCTTGAAAAGGGATTATTTCATAACTCCAATGAACTAATATGAAGAAAAGAAGAAAAGTGGTTTTCCCTCCTTTGCTCTTTGAAAATAAACCTTGGAAGACCTCACAGACTATAATGAAAGGTATGTGACGGAATACTGGTATGGAAAAAAAAGGGCTTCAAAGTCGAAAAGGGACAATGAAAACGATACCTGTTGGATCTCGAACGATGAGAAATATAGATGGTTAAATGCTAGGCGAGAAAGTAAGAGTTCGGGAACGTATTCTCTGTGGAGAAAGTGGATAGCTTTAGTCTGCGTAAATTGCACAAGAAACTGGTACAAATTACCTTGGAGCATTGTGGTCGTTTGTACGCAGCATGCCATATTGGTCAGTCAATTGCTTGCAGCAGACAGAAAGAATATGATCGTGGAAAATCTAGGCAGTAATCCGAATACTGAGTACATTAAACAGAGATTATTACAACCGACCGAATAAATGCATTCTTTTAAAGTTACATGGCTTGCGAGCAGGCCCTCATCATAAGGATGCGCGTTCCCCACCCTACTGATGTGTTTGAAACAAGTCGAGGAGAGTTTTGCTGGGGATCTGGCACTAATAATGATTCGGAAGCAAGAGCTCTAGGCGACCTCCTCGAGATGTTAATTGGGGTTGCATTATTATAAAAATTTAGAGTTTAACCGACCTTACATCAGCATGGCTCCAAGGAGCCTACGATTTGTTGCAGATATCGGAAAACGACAATTACCGATGTAGTTGTCGGGTTTTGCTTGGAGAGAAATAAGACAAAACTCATTAAAATGTCATAAAGTAAAGTTTAGGGCGACCCTCCTGTCTCCTTCCCAAAAGTCTGTCATTCTCACTTTTAGAGGTACTGATTTCAATCTTAACGGGCAGCTTTTAGGAAATATCTATTTTAATCATTTTAGTCAATCAGCAGATAGAAGTTCCCATAACTGCTAACAAAAAACAACAACAACAAAAGCAACAACAACAATAAATGCGAATAATGGTAGACCTGAAGATAAACCAAATAGTATCCTAGATCTTGCGAAGGAAAGGAACCAACTCACATCAAACAGTGATTAATTTTAAGTAATTTTCACGTCATTGTCTAATATTTGCATATCGCGTTTCTAGAAGTGAAAATTTCAATTTGTAACTATCAATTCGATTATCTTCCAGTAAAAGAAAGAAGTCCGTATTGCTCCGTCCGCGTTAGGGTTCATGCCGTGGCACGATTGACCCTTAGATATTTAATCAGTCACTTTTCCTCGTCTTCGAGCAGACGACGTCAGAGAGTACCATCCGGATGTGAAGATTGAGAAGGGGCTCTTCGGTCGTTTGACTGTACATTAATAGTCGATTCAGCTGTCTCATAAGGCCTGAATGGAGCTCTTAGCGCGGATAAAACTCTTTGCAGAAGTGTCAGTTCAGAAGCTCCTGTCGACCTGGATGAGTGTTCACCGATTTCGGTACGGTTTGAGATTCGAGAACGAGTGGAAAGGTTTCCTAGAAATACTGACACAGAAGACATAGAGTTCAATGAAACGTTACGCGAGCTGGGTGGATAGTTAATTGCTACATCACTCAATGAATCAGAGAGTAAATCAGCAACATTGGACGTAACTGTCGAAGGTGAAGTAGGATACTCAACTTGAGAAACTTTAAACAGACTTGAGGATGACTCTCTTGTTGAGTCCCTTATTGATGTTGCTTGGGGCTTGTTTTCATACGACAAGCCCCTCCATAGGTTTCTTAGGGATTCTGGTGTAAGCGAAGACACAGATTCTATCTCCGTCTCACTAGAGGTTTTATCTAAATCGTTAGAATACTTTGATGTTGGATCTATCACTTTCACAACGGGTAATTCTGCATCACCGAATCTTGAAGCAGGTGCTGAGGGAGAAGACGCCTCCATTTCAAACATTTTCGTCGAACATTGTACATTTGATGGTGAATCAGCTTGCATATAACATTGATCCCTGCTAATTCGAGCAACCTTAACGGAACTTGGGGGAGTCTCCTTTGTTATATCCCTTGTTGGAACAGCCGAGGGCTCATTTTCACACGACAAGCCCCGCCAAAGGTTCTTCAGAGATCCTGGGGTGAACGAAGACACAGATTTGAACTCCGTCTCATCCAAGCTAGTGTCTGAAGCGTTGCTGTAGTTAAGTTTTACATCTGTCACTGACCCAACGGGTGAATCTAGATCACTGATTCGTGATGCAGGTGGTGATAACGTAGGGGATGGCTCACTTTCATACAACGGCGCTGAACATTGTGCAGTTGATGGTGGTAGATCGGGT